CCCTGCAGCCCAAGCCGTCGCAACCGCCACCCAAGCCGCCGCACCGCCGCCGCCTGCCGCTGCCACCGCCTCGCCCGCTACCGCGCCTCGCCGTCGCCGCCGTGCCTCGCTGGACCGACGAGGTAGCCACCGTTTTTTAAAATAAAACCGATCCGTTTTTTTAAGAAAACCCTAACTTGTTTTTTTAGGTTCGTCGGTTTTTCTTTTTAGCAGACGTTCGTACGTATGTTCATTTTAACAAACAGTTTTCGCCCGTTAGTTACAGATAACGAACGCTCGTTCGTTAGCCTGTTCATCAGTTTTCTTTTATCGGATTTTTTCCGCGGTTATTTCTGATCGCGATTTCTGATCTGATTTTCGTTCTAGTTTATCTTTTCGCTCGTTAGTCGAAATCAGGCGATTCAAGCGCCTAGATCTTCGTCTCGAGACCCTCTTTCCGCTTAACCAACTTGCACAAGTTTTTGCTACTGTAAGATTTGACCTAGGTCCAGATTAGTAAACGGATCTTGTTTCTTTCGCCGTTTGAGTTTCGTCGCTCCGTTTGATTTGATTCTTTTTGCAAACCGGAGTTCTTAAGTTGAACTTTCTGGTTAGATCTTCTTATTTGAGTTTTACCCGTGCTTCTTTGCTTGATTGCTTATGTATGCTATTGTTTGTTTGCGATATAATTCCCGGAGTGTGAAGCGTGCTATTTGGAGTCTCTAGGTTACGCGGATCGTCAGCAAGGCAAGTAACACTTTGATAATACCCCTTTATCATCCAGTTTTTATGCATTAGTTCCAATCCACAAACATTGCATGGTTAGGATGTCATTAACATGTGGGTTGGGAAGTAGTTGATGAGGTAGAACCTATTACCCTGTTACATTCAAACCCTTGGGAGTTACTTCTACGTATTGCTTATATTGCTATGCTATGCTCGTAGACGAGGTTTGGGTGAGTGAAATCCATGACAGATATGAGATTGATAATTAATGGTTGGCAACTTAAATACGCATCTGGGTGGATTGAGGCACCTGGAGTACCCAGTGTTGCCTGTATTTTTGGAAATCCCGGAGTACCCGTGTGATCTTCCTATGGACCGCCACCCAGACTCAAAGGGAACTGAGATTATTCATGCTAGAAACTTCCGTGTGCAACCACAAGCTATTATGGGCTCTATCATAGTTGAGTAAGTTACGTGAAGCTCTTGAAGAGGTGGATCAACAGGTAGTGGGTTGTAGGTTTGGTATGGTCTGCCCGGAGTAGAGAGTTAATATTTCTGAAAGACTGTGTCTCGGTCATCCGTTTCTCAAACACCATGTAGTGCGAGAAATCCAACGGAGACGATCGAGTCTTGTGGGGAAAAGTGCGCAAACCTCTGCAGAGTGTACAAACTAATTATGGTTAGCCGTGTCCCCGGTTATGGACATCTTGAGTATCTAGTACTTGAAGTATCTTAAGTATCTCATCACTCTAAATTAATGTTGTTGGGTTGATAATTACCTTAATTGGGATTGAATTGGAGGAACCTTCACAATGATGTTTCAACTACCATGATAGTTAAATTAAAATCTATTTCTTTGTTGTAGGGAAAAATTGGCTTTTCGTAAAAACTATAACCATAGAGCTTTCCACCAGCCAAATATGCATGTAGTGATAGCATTATTCTGTTCTTGCTCTACTGTGTTACTTTGCGAGCATATTCCATGTGCTGACCCGTTTTCGGGCTGCAACGTATTATGTTGCAGACTTTTCAGACGAGGAGTAAGGTTCGTTAGGCCATTGCCGTGCAGCTCAGCTATGACGTTGGAGTTGATGCCAGGAATCTCACGCGTTGAATTTCTCGTCTGAGGCTGAGATTGCGGGACTGTTTGGATGGAGTCCTAATAGGCAGCTCTTTACTCAGGCAACGTTCCTAACCTCACGCCTCCATCCAACATCTGAGATTGGTGCCTGAGGCCCTGTTTGGTTCGGCTATGGATTTCTAAAAATAGCTGTAAAAAATCTGTTGTGAAAAAATAACTGTGAAAAATCTGATGTGAAAAAGATGTAGGTCATTTGACAAATTAGCTGATACAACTTTTTCAAAATTTGGTCCACAGCGAAATCAGATTTTGGAAAGCACGTCCTGAGCTGCTTCAGCTTTTGATTCAGATGTTGGCAGCGGATTTCTGGAATCGGGTTCTGCTGAGTTCGTCCTTTGGTTCAATCCATCAATAAAAGCTGAATCAAACAAAGCATGAGTCACGTAGATTTTTATGGAAGCCAATAAAAGCTGAATCAAACAAAGTATGAGTCACGCAGATTTTTATGGAAGCCAACCAAACAGCCCCTACTGCCTCCAACCAAACAGGCCGTAGGACCTGCCCTGCCCAGCCCGGATCGGCCCGGCCTTTTGCAAGCGGAAGCACCCGACACCTCTATTGACCCACCTG